TATAAAATTTTTATTTGGCAAAATGCAATATTTTTTTTATAAATAAATTATCTCTATTAAACATTTTCAACTATATCTTGATCTATCGATAAATATTTTATTAGGACAATGTATAAATACACATAAAAAATAACTAAACAATACGCTTGTATTATTATTTGTATGTCATAGTTCATTAATTATTAAATAATTATTTATTTTGGCTTTAAATTTGACTGAATGAAAGGTTACAGGTTATTTTGAAGTAAATATGAAATAAATAATTGAAATAAATATTCAAGAAATTTTATTAAAATATAATCGTAGATATTTTTATTGCTATTCCAATTTATTATTAATTTTAAAAAACTAGCAAAATATTATACGACAAAAAATATAGTTTACATTAAGTTTGTATTATTTCTTTTGATTTAAATCATTCAAATTTAATAATATCAAACTCACTGATTTATGGAATATCAATAATCGGTATGGAATATCACTCTCACAAACAATGGCTGATGAAGAATAAAAAAAACGTTAAACGATATTGAGAACATTGATATAAACATACGTGAACCTGTAAAAAATATGTAAAACATGCATATATAAATTTTATTGAATTGTTTCACAATAAATAAAATTCATTATTTTTAAGGATTAAAAAATATAACTCTTATTATGAAATATTAACTCTCGTGTATAATACAATATATAATGAGATGTAAGATTGAATCCTATAATATTGTTGACTTCTATTAACCAATCAAATCTAAAAAGAATGGCAAATCAAAGTTAACAATTTTAAAGCAAATAATTTATAACATTTTATATCTTACAAATGATTCTTATATTCATAAACTCATCTTCAATATCAAAAATATTAAAACAAAGATAATATTAAAACAAAAATAATTTCAAATTTATATTTTAATATCTTGTAATAACAACGAACATCAACTTTAATCTCAATCATAAACACTCGGAACAAACAAGCAACATCTTATCACAGAAAAGATTATTGAAGACCACAAAAAGAACAATGATTAAATCACTAATTCCACGCGTGAGACTCGCCATTAATAAAATAACACCAACGAAATTTAATCCTCCTACGCAAACCCTTACTTAAGATGTTTCTACCCTTTATAATATCCGAGCATCTACCGAGAAAGAAACGAACCTATCTCGGCCAGAGATCTGGCC